ATTAAGAATGCTATGAAAGATTCCATGGGTTATATTGACCAATTGATTCTTTGAAAATTGAATCTCTTCATTGGTGCTGCTGCCAGTATCAAATTGTATTCTTCTTGCATATTGAGCAAAAATGTTAGACTGCTATTAGTCATTATTCAGTGAGATTGCAAATCTTTCAGACTTTTGAATAGATCAGATTCGTATGAAGACATTTATATCAACTTCATTTATATCAGTAGTTGCAGCACCTGGGTACTTCTTGGGTTAAAATCTGGGCTAACAGACTTTTTCAGGGTCCTGTTTTGACATTTTTTGGCTGTAACAGTTTGTCATCATTGGCACATACTTGTCACTAGGCTCTCATATATTGTACATTTGTGTTGTTCCAGACTATTCATAGACTACTTAACACTGCAGTGGCATACTGAATAGACAGTGTGAATTCTCAAAAGCTATGGACTACAGAATTCAATTTCCCATGAGGCAACAAAAAAAATGTTTTGTTTACTGTTTATCTAGCTCTGATACCCCTGAGCATGTTTTTCTTGTGTTTGTTTATCCAGTGATAATTTTGAGGCATCTAAATCAATACACCATTAGAACCAATAGGAAATCTTGCCGGAGTATAACGTCCCTCTTGGCTGATCGTGGTAGAAATATTAGAATTGGCTGTAGCATTAGAGGTACAAGTCGTATTGATCGGATCGAATTGTAAACATTTCGAGGATTTCCCACGGCACGAAGCTTGGATTTCTCCACCGTCGCTCTCAACGCTCAATAAGCGCTTCTTTCTGGGAAGTTCTCGATCCTTGAAGATTCCCTTCAATTCATCTTTGAACTCTTCAAGATGAACAGAGGCCTTTTTGAACTTGATCAATCGTCGGTAGCAAGCTTTACAAACTGACAACTCGCTGGTCGCTGAATAGCAGCTCACATTCACATCCAGACAGGAACTAATATTCGCCGGAAAATCAAAAGAACTTTTTCCAAAAACATAAATTTTTTCTTTTGTCTCAACTGAAGTGGAACAAATAAAACAACGATCACTTTGCAAAACCTTCTTCAGCGTTTCCTCCAGCAAGGAACTACGATGAAATGCAGAATTTGAAAACGCGGGAATAACGATATTGATTACAATCTCTTGTGCTCTGATTGGTCACATAAGAAACAATGTCTGATCTCATTGGTGCAAAGACAACAAAGGGAAAGGAATGTTGTTCGAATGTGAGCAGCCGTTTGTGGGGAGGAGCATTGCGTGACGAGACTAAAAACGGCTGCGAGGGAGACTAATATTGACTGGGTACCTCAATGGCACATTCAGAAGTTAATAACTCTGTATCGTGTTAGTGTTTCTTACAAGTAAATTGCGTACGTAAATGAAAAGGTAATTCCAGATCACTTATTACCAAGTGTTAAAAGTGTTCGGGGTTGCACTGATTGGTCTAGAAAATTCGCGCCAGTTTGTCAACCAATGAGACACAAAACAAAAACCACGACCCGCGTTTTCCCACGCATTAGGCAGTTTGGTTCTTTTACCTTTGAGTTCTCACCAGTTCTTAAAGATATTTTCCTTGCTCTGTTTAACCTTATGTTTACTTAGGTTTTCGTTTTCGACAACGAATGGAAAAGCTCTGTATAGTCTAAGGTAAACTCGCATCAAGCAATACCAATGCTAATGAATTGCAGTGCGATGCCAGCCAATCCCATCGACGGCTCTTATTAGCCAAATTGGCAAGCAAGCACATTGGTCGCACAAATCTCAATTATAGAGTAAAAAAAAAAAAACAAACAGTTCGCAGGCTGTGCAATTATTGATCAAGTTGTAACTCTAAGTAATTATAGTTCGTAATTGGACCGTAGATGATTGGACGCAAGTCATTCTTTTTTAAAAAAGTTTCACTAAAATTGAGCAAGCTTAGTATTTAACTTTATTACTCTATGAAAGAACCTTTTTTCGCAGGATTTAAAAGACAGGGAACTAGAAGCCCCCGATAAGAGGTTTTTTTTGAGGAAATGAGTGAAATAATACACTTCCCAAACGATTATAGTAAATGAACTTTTAATTGGGTACATTTCTTCTTTTGTTTATTTCTCGCATTCAGTCTTGTAGGAAAGTTCTTAATCTCTTTTTCAACGTTCCACGACAAAACAAACTATCTGTCATTTGGTCCGTGTTTACTGTTAATTTTTAGTTATTCTGTTAAAGCCCGCCGCACAGCGATATGCACACTGTACTAGAGATTTGGGTAAAGGAGTAAACTTACCACAGTACAGGATTACACCTCACTGAGACGGAAAGATCGAGAGTTCCTCTCCCCTCATCATTGGGATAATAAGTAAAAGTGTCACCAAAAGTAAACCAAGCTCCATATACGGGTACATCCGTTAATGTTTATTGTTAAGCAACAGTAGAAATTTAAGGATTTGCATTGGTAACACGCGGTTGTATTGACAAAACCAATTTCTGTAAAAAGTAACTTTTGTCGCTTTAGTCGTGTGTTTCAGTTGCCCCCGGTGTAGTTATGGGAAGATTCTTAGGTAGCGAAATTCCTCCACTTTTCATAATTAGGGAAAAAGTTGACGACCTTAAACCAACCAAGATTGCTTTGAATCCTCTTAAAATCGCCACCATAGAAAATAAAATCACGCAGCCGAAGCAAGGAAAGCAACATCTTTTATATAAAAAAGCCCCTGAAATCATTAACGTTCTTGAGCATGAATGTAACCGTTTTCCCTATACAAATCCTGATATTTCAACTGTTACGTAATAAAGATATAACGTTAACTGAGGTCATCGCAGAAAACTGAAGAAGGTAGAGAAATATTGTCTAGATCTGTGCCTCTCAGACAACGGTTAGGTGCCACTATCAACCTAATCATATGCTATATCTTGGGAGCTAGGCAAATTTAAATGATTTCTTTATTCCTCGTCTGCCATACGGAGATGTGTTGTGTTGGTAGATTAGAAGATCTTACCAGATGATGCACTCTAACGATTGTTTTGGTTTTTGCTGACCCCCTTTCAGGGAGACTTTTAGAAGATTTGTGTAAACAGTTCTTAATAGTGGAATATATTTCTTGAGGAGCACAAAAAAATTGACGTTTCAGACCAATGAAATGCATCTCATGCATGTTTTATGATATCCGGTCGCTATCTTGTAGGGAATACCAATTGAAACATATATTCTAAATTTGACATGCAAACTGGATAGGGCAACTTGCACTACGATCACTAATGGTTTCAAGCGGAGCTTTTCAGTTGGCGTATTAAATGATAGTTAATTTACCAAAACAAGTCGCTGGCTCATCATTACATCAACGTGTCATTTCTTCGGTAGGGCTACTTTTAAAGTTCATCCGAGGAGACAGGTGCAGCCGTGGAAGCTAATTCAACAGCCAAACTCAGTTTCCTCAACATCACGGCTTCGTTACGTCAGTACAAGTTACGTTCTTCTTGAAAGAATAAATGATGCTTTAAAAGGAAAGATATGGCAGGGTTCTCCATTATCTTCAAAATACTTTATCTTCTCTCACAGGTATTTCTTTTTATTTTGCCTATCGCTTCAAAACTATATTGCACTGAAAAACCAAAATTAAAACCTTGCTCTGTGATTGTTTCAGATATTTGAAAGTTTTCAAGCAACAACTTCAAGTAAGTTCTCTCGTGTGTGTTAAAGAATCCAGAAGCAGAGGTTGTTCGAGAAATTTTTCGACGTAGTCGATATGTCCATTGTTAAAAATAAATTCTAGTCTAAGAGTCACACAGTACAGGAATAAAACTTGAATAGCTAATGAACAAAGGGAAGGATCTATAAAGGGTATACGTATGTTAATCTTTTTTGTTTTTCTAAAGTTATTATTTTCCGTGATAGATTTTTTTTTCCTATCTTTATACTTGCAACACCGAGGATATGCCCAAACTCTCTCGGATTGCGTTCATTTTTAAATACCAAGGAGCTAAAGAATCCTATGAAATCAAGCTTAGAGGATTTAGGACGTACAAATGCAAACAAATAAAAAAATAAATAAATAAATACTCAACCGATAGTTTTTTAATTAAAAATTCAATCCATTTAATTCTTTTTTTTTCCGTTATTCGGCATTTTTTGTTTCAGTGTAAGAGAGAATTTTTATTAAAAGGAAGTCAGCGGCCATCGGAAGTCTGAACTGTGAACTCTTTCTAATATTTCACATGGACCCACCTTATTTTAAGTCTAAGAGAGAGAGAAGGGTAATGATCTAGAGCCTGCTAAATATTGGATATTGTTCCTTAACCAATTAACTTCTGTCATCACATAAAAGTTTAATAACCACTTGTATAATGGTAGCAATTCTTCTTGAAACTAACAAAAGGCTTCTAGAAAGTTGCGAAATCGGCGATTCTCTCAGGTGTACTTTTTCACATAATTACTCCTTTGTTTTTTTATGTTATCATTACATCATTTATTTCTCTTATTCTCTTAAACTTAGGGATATATCTCTTCTATTGTCTTCAGAGCTAATTCACAAAACGAAAACACCCTTGTTTAATTTTGTTGCTGGGAGGCTTGGAATTAAACTCAGACCAATTCTAATTTATCGTTTGTTAAACAACTCTTGAAATTAAGATTGAAAATTAATAGTCCATTTCCTGCTCATCCTTTCACGTGATAACACGTGCCCATTCACATGCAAATCAGTTCACTCATTTTCACAAGAATGGTTGGCACCAGGCCTCGTTCTGAAAAAGAGGCCATAAATATTTCGAAAATAACCTCTTTGTCAAGGTGTGAACCAGGAGACGTTTAGGACTATACGATTCATAAGAAAGCCTCCCAAAGTGGGTTGATCCAATCGTCGAATCAAAACTAAGAGCGAAATATTTAATGCCATTTTCTAACCTAGCTGCAGGCCAATTAATGCTAGCACTGAAAATGTAAATTTAAGATGTACAAACGGTGATTCGTTTATAGCTGAGATCTGTCCTGAAGGCTCGATGTTCTGCAAAAACTGTAAATAGAACTATGGTGAAAACCGTCAGAGTGGGACCAATGCAGATTTTTTTTTCTAGTGGATTGCTTTCTACCTCATATAAAACTGTAGCCATGGGGTATAGCAGTTCCCGAATTTTGGTTACTTTATATTATAGGCATGATATCAGGGTGTACAAAGAGTACAAAGAGAATATCAACTGTTTATGTATAGGTTAGATCACAAATATTGTCATTCATGAAGCAGTTATTTCTTGATTTCTTGTTGTAGATCTTGCGATGTTTCTTGTTTCTTTTCCCGGCCTTAAAAGTTTAGACAGTAAACCTGACTGTGAATGCAATGAACTGACTTTTTAAGAAAAAAGCTCAACTAATTCAACCCAAATGATTTTTTATTGAATTTTTCTCAGACATTTTAACTTACAAGTGTGATTCCTCCAATTTAACCCTGCGTTATGCCGCTGAAACTTTGGCTGAGAATCCATGCAGTGGATGCCGTATCAACGAAACCAAACTTCCCATTTGTCAGCGGCGCCTGTATGCTCCAATAGCTTCATGTAAAGATAAGTCAACCAGGATCTCCTTTAGCTTAAAAGTATGGCCAACGGGCGAGATTCCAGGTTGGTGAAAACTGAAACAATACAAATTCGGTTAGTGAATGGCGGTTCGGCTTTTTACTGATGCCGTCAGAGAACTGTGTATTCATCTAGGGAAAAGGGGACACTCCCCTTTATATATGGCTTTCCAAAATTCTTTGGGCCTATTTGGTCCTAAATCGGGTATGCTTTCAAAGGAAATCAAGAGCACGCAAAAATATATCTTTCTTCCAACTGATTTCACATTGAGTAATAGGGAAAGATGGCTACGCGACAGTCTAGTTTGCGTTCCTCTTTTTTTAGTACAAACCTTTAGTCCTAAATATTTTTCCTGCGAAGTTGTGTTGATCAAGGCTATTATGCGATAAAAAATTTTCATAATGGGTGTCGAATGAAAACCATTGTAACATTTTTCCAGATGACCGGAAACCTGCATGGCAATGGTAAAATTAAGAGCTTTCAAAAACGTCCTAGAACTTTATTGTGAGTTGCAGTCTTAACCTTGCGTTTTAGATAGCGAAGCGAACAACCAGCCGGCGGAAAGCCTCGAAGATAGCCACGATATACTCACAATGCAACCCCAGGGAAGGGCTATTGTTTTAAAGCTGAGTGGCGTGTCGCTTGTTCAATATTCTGGCTTGTCTTTCAACTGGAGTTCTAACTCTTCGTCGCTAAATTTCACCATGGATTACAGCATGGACGGCTTTCACTGGATCGACTACACTGAGGACGAACGAGTAAAGGTAGCAATGCATAAAAAGTCATTCATTGAATAAGTCTGAGAAAAAGGAGAGAAATCTTATGTATGACTGTAACAAACAACTCTGCTGTATGTTGTACAATTTCAAAGTGTAGGAAAACATTTTTACTATGAGCAGCAATCGAAGGCTCAACTAGGATCAATAAATAACCAGTCGTCGTGTGGGAGAGAGGCTTGCACTTCCTTCCCTAAAGAACGAAGGGGCTTATGGGTTCCCATTTCTACCAATTAGAACGTTGCATTGATGCACATCTGTCCCTCTCGAGTGACCTACTAAACGAGAGGGCTGTCCAAAGAAAGCATATGCTGAAGGCGACTGGACTAAAGAGGGTCATGGCTTCGCTACCGTTTTTTTTTTTTTTATCCTAATCAATTCCATCTCACTCTTATAGCAACTAAATTCCTGAGATTATTTAGGGGAGTGATTAACGATGATTCTTTTAAAAATCATAGTTAATTTTAAAAAAGGGAATGAGCTTATTATGGGATGCGATTCTTTCCAGGTTTTCCAAGTCTACCGCTACCATCCAACAGTATGTTTGTGTCGTAAGGTTATGGCCAGGTACCTAAGGATAAAGATTACAGAAACATCAGAGTTTGCACCTTGGATGAGTGGGTACTTGGATGCAACTTTCTGTTCAATTACTGCCGGAGGTTGGTCTTTATTCAATTCATTAGCAGCTTTTTCCCATCATTACACAAATTTGTGCGACCTCCGTCTACCTTAACGATCTAATTTGCTACAAGATATCTATGGTAGTACCTGCACTCTCTTTACTTTACTCCTTACTCGATGAGAGTGTGAAAATACAGTCAAAAATTCATTTTTGTTTTTCTAAGTAGTAGGGGACCTTTTCGTATTTGTAAAGCCTCATGTTATCAATGGGGGTTGGGGAATTAATGATTCTCGAAAGTCTCGCAAAACTCGATTTACTAGTAAGCTAATATAAGGTTCGCCCATCTGTCTCGATTCTTCCGAATCATCTCGTGTCTAGGCTAGGTCAAATTGAAAAGCCTCTCTGTAACTTAAATTCAAATTCTTTTCAAACGGAAGAATATTGACTGGTTTATTGGTCTTGAAACAAGATTAGGACCAATTATTCACATTCTTCATATTCCAAACGCTGAAGGCGTCGAATAAGAGGCGTAGTGTCTGGTAAAAGGCGGTTGATTCTCGAAAGACACATCTTATTGAAATTAAACTCTCTTTCTCTCCACGCTGTAACAGGGCGGGGTCAGACATGACTTCAGTTCAACTGCGTCAAATACGTAACCAGATGGTGTGGATCTTGTAGCTTCAGAATTTTTAAGCAAATTCATCGTTTTCATTACAAGGACTTGGTATTCCGTAACTTTCATCATCAAGAAAATCTAGTTTTTTGTATTAGTGCCTTAGGTCAACCTCAACATGTTCCATATCCTGGTAGCCCTAGCTCTTTTAGAATAGGTCGCATCTCTGTAAAATAACTGTTTTCAAGGCCAATGTCTATGGTCGCGATAAAAGGTAGTAGGTATTTCATTAAAAGATCGAGAAAGTCATTGACATGTTAATAGCTTTGTAACTACCATCAAATGAATTTTAGGTAAAAAGGCTGATAGTTTCGAAAGAAACTGTTTGGGGCTGCGTCGGTGGGAGTAACGAAATAATTTGGATATATCAACAAAGTTGAAATGGTAAATTGGCCACCGTAACGATTACAAAAGCTGACGTTTCGAGCGTTAGCCCTTCGTCGGAGCGAATAGAGGAATTGTGGGTTGTGTGTGCTTTTAAAGGCAGAAAATGGAGCTACGTTATTGGTGGGAACATGGCAACGAGAAAAACA